TAGTAGTGTATAGTGTATATTAGTGTAGTGTATAGTGTAGTGGATAGTAGTGTAGTGTATAGTAATGTATAGTGTAGCGTAGTGTATAGTAGTGTATAGTGTAGTGTATAGTAGTGTAGTGTATAATGCAGTGTATATTTTAGTGTATAGTAGTGTAGTGTATAGTAGTGTAGTGTATAGTAGTGTATAGTGTAGTGTATAGTAGTGGTGTATAGTAGTGTATTGTATAGTAGTGTAGTGTATAGTAGTGTAGTGTATAGTAGTGTAGTGTATAGTAGTGTATAGTGTATAGTAGTGTATAGTGCAGTGTATATTTTAGTGTATAGTATAGTGTATAGTAGTTTAGTGTATAGTGCAGTGTATATTTTAGTGTATAGTAGTGTAGTGTATAGTAGTGTAGTGTATAGTAGTGTAGTGTATAGTAGTGTATAGTGTAGTGTATAGTGCAGTGTATATTTTAGTGTATAGTAGTGTAGTGTATAGTGCAGTGTATATTTTCGTGTATAGTGCAGTCGTGCTGGAGTCTGTCGCCAGGGAAAGGGGGGTCTGGACCGCACCTCGTCAACACGTTGCTGTCGCGACCCTCAAGCAGGGCAAGCGGATTGAGAAACGAACGAAAGAACGTCGTAGGAATTCAACACGGTCTAGACAAACAAAGGTTGTTTTGTTTAACTCTTAACCCAGATTTACACGAGCGACTTAGTCAACAATCACTTGGAGCTAAACCCGTTTTATTTGCCTTCTCGCATAAAAGGGGGGCCCTTTGGCAGCTTTTACGAGCGTGCTGGGAAATGCCAGGGGGGATGAAGGGGGGGGGTGAATGGGGGGGTAAATGGGGGGGTGAATGGGGGGGGTAAATGGGGGGGTGAATGGGGGGGGGGTGAATGGGGGGGGTGAGTGGGGGGTGAATAGGGGGGGTAAATGGGGGGGGGTGAATGGGGGGAGGATTGAATGGGGGGGGGGGGTTGAATGGGGGGGGGGGTTGAATGGGTGGGGGGTGAATGGGGGGGGGGGGTAAATGGGGGGGGTGCTCAGAGCCCGGGTCCTTGGTCACACGGCGCTTGCGACGTGGAGGGGGGTGGGGGTCGGTTGGGGCGGGGGCCCTGAACCCCGTCACCCCGGCCCCGCCCTGCTCAACCCAAGCGGGGCATCGCCCTCCCTCCCTCTCTGAGATCGGGTTTCGGAGAGGGGTGGGGGAGAGATGGAGGGAGGGTGAGGACGAGGCAGGGGGGGGGGAGAGCCAGGGGGGGGAAGATGGAAGCAGGGAGGGAACTGCACTTAGATTTAAGCACTTAGACTTAGTCGAGTACACGTGCTGCGTCTGCGTCTACTCACACCCCGCAGCAAGGAGCAGCAGCATCGGTGCAGCCGCGTGATGCCTGCTGCCGAGACGGGGTGACCCAAGCCCGCGGATTCACCAGCGGCGGTGCAGTGGCTCGCGCACCGAGCTCTACGAACCTGGGACTTCCCGAGTTCGATTCCCGGCCACGGTTAACGTCAGCTGGGTGGGCGCGCGTCGCCAACGAGCGCTTAAAGCGGTGTGGTGAAGTATGGTCAAACAAAACGCCCAGCGATGAGACGCGTGCCATGGGGAGGCCTTCATCCAGCAGTGCATTTAACTATGACAAGGAGCTCCACATCAACTGCGGGTCCAGGTTACCATTTGCAGTGTTGGGACCTTGTCCAAGGACCGCGCGCGAAGCCGTGCATTGTAATCCACCGTGCTCAATCACCATTAACCCAGAGACAGCGGCAGCAGTGTTGCTCAAAGACAAAGATACCCCGTATAGCCTTAACAGACCGCTGGGGCAAGTGCTGTTAGCCAGCAGCACCTGTGAAGGCCGGCACGGCACACGAGGGGGTGGTGGGTGGCCAGCACCAACGCCTGGCTGCCTTTGACTCCCGAGTGGCAAAGTTTAGAGATCACGCCAAGTACTCACAAGAGGCCCGAGTCGACCGAGGAGAGGCCCAGGACTGGTTCAGATGTCCGTCACTGGCGGTGGCCGTGAGCGGGAATCTAAAACTCGGACCGCCGGGTTCGTAGCGCAGCGCGCTGACCCGCTGCATGCCCACCGCTCCCCGTTGGGTTCACGCGCGAGGGCACGCGCCGCGATCCCTCGCGCGGAATCTCCTCCTTGGGCGTCCGCGCCCGCCCCTGCCGCACGGTCACAGCGGCCGCGTCACAACGAGCCAAGGCCGTTGAGTAACCGCGAGCCGACACGGGAGCCGCCGCGGCGGCGGAGAGGGGACACGGGGGGAATGTTGCTGGGGCACATCACATTCCGCGTGTGCCCATCAGGAAGGCGGTAAATCTATCCGCGGCATTTAGCGAGCACCCTTTGCGCTCGTGCGACGTCAACTCGCATCGCGCACTGCTTTGCGCGTCCGAGGGCAAACGGGTAACGGCGTTCGCGCATCGGCGTAGCCGGGCTCAAGTCGCGAGATCAGAACAACATTTTTTGGGGAGGTTTCGCTCTTGCGGCTGGAGGTGCCATTCGGGCCGGGTCTTCCATCACCGCCGGCGTGCTTTAGCTACCGCTCATTTGTTCGAATCGCGAATACTATAGTTGGGGGAAAGCTCACTGCGGTTTTCCTCTGGAAAAAAAAAACGTTCGCCCGCCATGGGAACGTGGAACGATGCGTTGTGATTCGTGGCACGCTGCACCACCGGGTTTACTTACCTCCTCACGCACACCGTTTTTATGCACCACCGCCCCATGGCTCCTAACTCGAAACGGGACAAACGGACGCGATATCGTCAAAAAGTGAACTCTCTTCTTGTTTATGTATTAAATATCGCGCGTTTTATTGTGCAACGAGAACGACCTGCCAAGTCCCAAACCAAAATAAATTTTGGCCAGGTCTGGTCTGTCCCCTCCTTGAAGCAGGATTTGGTTTCCGTGCCATGGACGTGCGGTGCAGCTCACGGCGGCCCGTCACTCGCCATATTTACCTCCACGCGCCGAGCTCTTCTGCGGTGCGTGGCTCAGGGCCAGCGGCGGTGGCTCAGGGCCAGCGGCGGTGACTCAGGGCCAGCGACGGTGACTCAGGGGCAGCGGCGGCGGCTCAGGGCCACCGGCGGCGACTCAGGGGCAGCGGCGGCGACTCACCGGCGTCGCGTTACCGCGCCATACGCCGCTTTCGCGTCGGCGATGCTTCGCCCGCAAGGAAACGGGCGAAGCATCGCCGGGTTCGGCACTCGTCTTCTGTCTACAGCCCCCGAGCCAGCGGTGGAAAGTCCACATTAATGTGGTGGGGGTGAGTCTATCCATTGGACAAGCCACCAATGACCTCCCCGCAAAGGTTTTTTTTATTGACCCCGGAGGGATGATAAGCTGAGTCATGCCCCCAACCAGAATTTGAACCCGCGACCTTCCGATTGCGAATCTTTCGCTCGACCGCTGAGCCTTCAGCAACTGCAGGGGAGAACAAAAATACACATGCCCCAATCATCTTCCCTCGCGCATGGCGGCGGCGAATGGCAAAGCGGGAAGAGGAAGGCTGAGCGGCGATGAGCGCGATGAGAAGCAGCTGCTCCCGCGGGAAAAGCGGACGCTGCACTCTCGTGCTGCAGCTGCGGCCGGCTTCCTGTGCCTCCGCCCGCCCCCCCCTCGCCCCAACGCCACGCGGGTGCCGCCGCTCGTGTTTAGTCTGGGCTGACAATCGCCGCACCACACGTGGGCGGGCGTGTAGGCACGCACGCACGCACGGGGAATCGTCCGCGATTGCTCATGGAAGGGAAGCTCTCGCTGTCACGCGCTGCTCTACGGGAGGTTAACGGGACGCGTGCGTGCACGCGCCTACAAAAAGGGGCGTCCAGCGGTCCGAGTTGCGAGCGGCGGAGGCCCTCCGGGCGGCCAAAGCCGGCTCACGACGACCAAGGCGACTTGCGGCAGTAGCATCGCGACAAACGCCGATGCCCTCAAGCGAAACCCTCCCGCGCGCGTCGCAGTGAATCGAGTATCACGGCTCACCACCGAGAAAATCCACGCGACGATCGTCGCCCTTTGGGGCAGCGGCGCGCCTCTGTCCGGCCGGGCCGATCTGTCTCCACAAAGCGAAGAGCCCCGTCGAGTTGCTACGAACAACGAGAGGTGACGACGACGTGACCCCAGAGCACCCATCGCTCGCGACGGAAAACAGCAAACGCACCGAGCGCACCGCCGCCGCCACCACCAGGCCGACCGCGGCACCTCTGACTCCTTCCCCCGCGCCTCCGATTATAGCACGGGTCCGGCTACGTGCGGTGCGAACGAAGTTCAACGTGCGTGCGTCCCCACGTGAGCTCCACGACCGAGGACCGAATGCTCGCTCGGGCAGCGCAGGACGGCGGCTTAGGCCTCCGATCGGCAGTCGCTGCGTCCACGGAGGGTGGCGTGGATGGCGCCGCGGTGAAAATCAGAATCGGAATTAGAACGTTTTTATTTATCCTGGAGGAATCCGATGAGCTGCAAGGCTCTTTTTCGCAGATGTCCAGTAAACGAGAAGCAGAGCCAGAGCCACAGCTGGCGAGCGGAAGGCAGAGTCACGAGAGAGGGGAGAGAGAGAGAGATATCGGCGCTTCTGCAGCTCTGTAGGTCCCACAGGCCTCGCAAAGGAAGCACTCGCGCATCTGCGTGGGTTTCCAGCTCTTAATGAAAAAAATAATATCCGCGAAAGAAAAAAACAAGAGAATACGCTGCAGATATATCACGAAGCGTTTCAATCGTATCAATATCGAAGCAAATGCGATGATGCGGTGTTAATTGTCAGAAGTAAATCGGGGACACGAGGAGAAACGTGGTCATGTTGTTTTAGACCCCAGCGAGCTGCGAATCACCTCGTCGCATCTCAGGCCACGCACGAGTCAACGTTCTCTATTTTCCGAGAGACAGACAGGCAGGCAGGCACTACAATCAGCATTCCGCTGCCCCCCGCCACCTAAACTTGCGAGGGAGAACGGCGCGGCGAGGAGGGTGCGGGTGGGCGATTTTACACGAAATGTGAATTTGGGAGCTCACCTTGTTGAAGCGAACACGAGCGAGGCAGCGAGGGAGCGATGGAGCGATGGAGCGAGCTTCGCCTCGCGACCGTTAACCCCTTGCGCCGCGCCACGGAGAGTTGTGGCAGGAGCCGCGGCGCCGAGTTCACGCCACAACCGCTGGGCCGCCGGGCCGAGGCGCAGGGACTCCCTGTGTGCGACAAAGATCGGAGGCTAAATATAAACGAGGCTGACAGTGGCACGCCGCACTAACACGCACGCCACGCAGGCGCGCGCACACGCACCCACGCACGCACCCACGCCTGTTCTGACACCCAAGCACCGGCAGAAACCAAAATACCCGGCACCGACTGCCAACGAAGCAGACACGCAGACACACACACAGACACACACACAGAAACACAGAGACACACACACACGCGCAGACACACACACAGACACACATACACACGCAGACACACACACAGACACACACAGACAGACACGCAGACACACACACACACAGACACACACACACACAGACACACACACAGAAACACAGACACACACACACGCGCAGACACACACACAGACACACACACAGACACACACACACGCAGACACACACACAGACACACACAGACACACACGCAGACACACACACACACAGACACACACACAGACACACAAACAGAAACACAGAGACACACACACGCGCAGACACACACACAGACACACACACAGACACACACACACGCAGACACACACACACACAGACACACACACACACAGACACACACACAGACACACACACACACAGACACACACACAGACACAGACACACACGCGCACACACACGCGCACGCAAATGCCCTTGCGAGAAGTGACCACGGCGCCCCCATGTCACCGTGCCCGTGCCCCCGCGGTGCCCGCCACCAGCACGCACGCACGGCGATGATGATGATGATGGGTCACAACATCACCAATGACGTTCGGATTTAGAACGCTGCATCTGTGCTGGGGGGGGGGGGGGAGCAGAAGAGGAAGAGGAGGAAGAAGAAGAGGAAGAAGAAGAGGAGGAAGAAGAAGAGGAATAATAAGAGGACACTGCGCAGCGCATCCGCGGGCACTGCGAGTCCTTTTGGTGCTCAGGAAAGGGCTGTCGGGGTTCTGACGACTGTGGCCCTGCCAAGAGCGAGCGAGAGGCCAGGCTCTCGTGGTGTCTAAACTTAGTCGCGGGACATCGCATGGCCCGGACGTCTTGCGAGATCTCAAGGAGTCCCTCTGAGCGACAGCGAGGAACCGTTTTGAAACGGAGAGACGGGGTCAAACAGGCGAGAGCGCTCTTGCCTTGGGATGCTTCCTGCATTCATAACCAGTCGGGTGGTATCGACGCGTCGGTTGATACCAATTAACAATTCCTGCGGGTCACGCTATGTATATCGTGAAACACGTGGACAAGAATAGTAGCTTGTTTTTTTTTTATAACCACCAAGGGTATAGAGCGAATAAATCAGCTCGTGTACAGGTACTCGGTGATTGCACCACAGAACAAGAGCTTGGTCATATTCTTAGTTTTTTCGGTAAAGTCACGTTGAAGAGAAACAACAAAATAACAAAATATATATAAAACAATAAAAAATTCTCACGACGTTTCGACCATAACTCAAACGGTCATCATCATTGAATATGATGATGATGGGAATAAGATTTTCATTTTCAGCTCATGCAAGCGGGGGAAACTCAAAGAAGTGAGAAACGTCTAGATGTTAACTGCCTCGTCTGGTATACAGGAGGTCGTGGGTTCGATCCCGACCCCGACGCTTGTATGTTTGGAGTCTGCGTGTCTCTCTCTCATCACGGTGGTTAGGAAATGTTAACTACCTCGCCTGGTATACAGGAGGTCGTGGGTTCGATCCCGACCCCGACGCTTATATGTTTGGAGTTTGCGTGTCTCTCTCCCCATGGTCGCGTAAATATTTTCCCCGGGTCCTCTAGTTTTTCCCTTCACAGTCAGAGACATGGCGTTTAGAGTAATTGGCTGCGATAAATTTCCACACGATAAACCACTTTATTGGACTGTCATCTGTTGCCAGGTCGCTTCTGAAAAATAGCTCTATAGCTCAGTGGGGCCTTACCTGGTAACATAACAAAATAGTTTCGTTTAAAAAGAGACCAACACAACTGATTATTGAATCAGCCCTAAACCACAACAATCGTGAGCCACCCCAGCGACCATGCACGGACCCTCTCCACCACGCACACCAGCGGGTGGGCGGGCCGGCCGCTCCTGGCTTGCGCCGGGCCAAGCCCGGCCACACCCCCCCACACCTGGGCCACACCCCCCCACACCTGGACCACACCCCCCCACACACCTGGGCCACACACCCCCCCACACCTGGGCCACACCTCCCCACACCTGGGCCACACACCCCCCCCACACCTGGGCCACACCTCCCCACACCTGGGCCACACACCCCCACACCTGGGCCACACCCCCCCCCACACACCTAGGCCACACACCCCCACACCTGGACCACACCCCCCCACACACCTGGGCCACACCTCCCCACACCTGGGCCACACCGCCCCACACCTGGGCCACACCCCCCCACACCTGGGCCACACCTCCCCACACCTGGGCCACACCTTCCCACACCTAGGCCACACCTTCCCACACCTGGGCCACACCCCCCCACACACCTGGGCCACACCCCCCCCCACACACCTAGGCCACACCTCCCCACACTTGGGCCACACCTCCCCACACCTGGGCCACACCTCCCCACACCTGGGCCACACACCCCCCACACCTAGACCACACCCCCACACACCTGGGCCACACCTCCCCACACCTGGGCCACACCCCCCCCACACACACACCCAGGCCACCCCCCCCCCACACCTGGGCCACACCTGGGCCACACCTCCCCACACCTGGGCCACACCTTCCCACACCTAGGCCACACACCCCCCACACCTAGACCACACCCCCACACACCTGGGCCACACCCCCCCCCACACACCTAGGCCACACCTCCCCACACCTGGGCCACACCTCCCCACACCTGGGCCACACCTTCCCACACCTAGGCCACACACCCCCCACACCTAGACCACACCCCCACACACCTGGGCCACACCTCCCCACACCTGGGCCACACCCCCCCCACACACACACCCAGGCCACCCCCCCCCCCACACCTCCCCACACCTGGGCCACACCTCCCCACACCTGGGCCACACCCCCCCACACCTGGGCCACACCTCCCCACACCTGGGCCACACCCCCCCCCACACCTGGGCCACACCCCCCCACACCTGGGCCACACCCCCCCCACACCTGGGCCACACCGCTCCACACCTGGGCCACACCTCCGCACACCTGGGCCACACCACTTCACACCTGGGCCAAACCCCCCAACACACCTGGGCCGCACCCCCCCCCTACCTGGGTCACACCGCCCCACACCTGGGCCAGACCCCCCCCCCCCCACACACCTGGGCCACACCCCCAACTCCGCAGCGCGTGGCATAAAACTCCCCGCACAGGGCAATCGGAGCAGAAACCAGAACTGCCCTGCGCGCAAGAGGATTGTTTTCAAAACAACGCATGACAGGGGGGCCGCACGTCCTCGACCCCGCGTGTAGTGGGGAGAGGCGCGCGTTCGCAAAACCGGCAAGACGCAACGCGCGCCGCTGGCTGAGCGCTGACGTGGGCGTTACGGAGAGCACACGAGGAGCGGGGTCGGGAGAGAGGCCGCTAAGAAGCAATTTCGCTCGCACTCGGGGTTAACTCCCGTCCCTCCCTCCCTCCCTCCCCCCATCCCACAACCCCTGGCAAACGAAATAAAAACAACTCAATTTTCAACGCGCTGGCCTCTTGAACACGCCGCGGCTTTCGTTTTTTTTTGTGTCTTGGGTCACGCTTCTCGCTCGCAGCGCACGCCCGCGCACTAAACAAAAACCGTTGGTGATTAAAATCCTCCGTACGAGATGAACCCACGTGCAATATTCGAGGGCTAAGCGCTGCGAGTTGGTGGGCAGCTGCCAGGTGGATCAGGGGAGGATGGCGGAGATGGGGGGGGGGAGGGTTCGAGGGAAGAGTGGGGGGGGGGGGTGGAGGGCGCCATGCCCAGCGGCCAGAGGAGGAGGGGGGGGAGTAGCGGGGCTAAACGGCGACTTGACATTTCCACGAGCCAAATCGAGCTCGGAAGCGGCGGCAGCACCTCCCCCCCCCCACTCCCCCCCACCACCACCACCGAATGTCAGCGCGCCTAATAAAGAGGCTCTCCGTGTCGCGCAGCATTCATCACGGACGCACGGAGGCCGCGAGGCCACGGCGCTCGCGGGAGACGCGTCGCTGCCGATCCCGCACCGGCGGAACGAGCGACCGCTCGCCCCTCGGGATGTTAGTTCTTGCCGTGGCCGCCGCCGTCGCCGTGAACTCGATGTTTTCGTTGCCGATCTCGGTACTTATTTGCGGCTAGCGCTGTGACGTTCAATAATTCACGTCGAGCGATTGTAATTGAAACACCGGCTGTGAGAAGCGGCGGCGAATCTGCTTTTCAGGGACGCGTACCGCGGACGTTGGCGATTGCGCGACGGAATGAGGCTCAGATCTGCGCGATGAACCGTCGGTTCGTCGATTAAAATCGGTCCCCACGCTCACAGAGCACAGGCGTCAAGTCATGCGTTGGGAATCGATTATTTACGATGTACGCACACGCTCACGTCGCACCGAGGCTGGTGGGGCAAACGAGACGCAAAAAAATAACAAATGAGAAACGGCACCGAAGATTCGTGGACCGATTTTAATTTTCCTCCCTCCCCTCCTTTAAATACTCCGCTCCCGATCGGCTTGCCACCCCTACCACGGCTTGCCACCCCTACCACGGTAGGGGTGGCAAGCCCGGATTACCTTGTTTGTTCCATAATTACGATGGTGGTGCATTACGTCCTCCCCCGTTCTACGTTCCACCTTGTTCCTTCCCTCCTTGCGATGTTCCCACCGTCTTCCTGGTTCTCGAAATGCAATTTAAAAAAATATTCCCAAAAATGATCAAATATTCACCGAGTCTTAAGGGCAGCGGCGGGAAAGAGACCGACGGGACCGGTGGGAACGCAGCGCGAGGCGTGACCCTGGCCTCTCAAGTCCGGCGCTTGGTGCGCTTTGGGCCCTCGAGGTGTGGTGGTGGTGGGGGGGGGGGG